ACTACCATTTTCAAGCGTAAACGCCCTTCACCAGACGGTCGCCGACCCCGTCGCAGAAGACGATGCTGTCAATCTCAAGGTACTACGGCGCCTTCTAAACATATCGTCCGTGTGAATGAGATTGTCAACAACCCTCGTGTATTTTCAATGTAAAGAACCTCAATCAATGTATATGTTTGTGATCAATAAATACTTGTTCTAGCCTACTCTCTCTGTTGTTCGTCTTGTCATTATTTTCCCCCTTTTGTCACCACCGTGCAGGTGGGAAAAATTCCTCTCCCCGCTCCCGTTTTTTGCTGCTTTACCGAGGCATATTCCTGGGTGTTCTAACCCAAAAGTTATATCACAAATGTTGATTGACCACGCTCAAGAAGGGTTTCAAATTCTTATACCTATTTCTTCAGATTAACAGGATTTTCGCTCCAAATTTATCAATCGGTTTTGGGGATAGAAACACACAATATAATTTTAAAATGGATTTGGTGAAGATGGAACCAGAATAGTAATTTGTCTATGCGAGACTATGACTTTCGCGCATTGCACAACTTAAACAATGTGAACCTACAACTCCTGACGACGAAATTATGTGGCTTTTAACAAATACCCGTACGTCATACAAAATCTCCTTAAAACTAGTTATGTGAGAGATCTCGACCAATTTCAGATGTTAATGAGCGATTTTGACCAAACTAATTTGAAATTTGCATCTTATCAAAGCCACAATCAAAACTAATCACGCCTACGTAATGGAAATAACAATCAGTCTCGAGGGTTTTTTCCACGCCAGCCACAAGGTCAAGAACTCTCGCTTAACTTCGAGCGAATGTAAAACTCATCTTGGATAACCGTCATCCATTCTTTCATCGCCGTCAACCAATCTTTGCATTTCAAGGACCGTGAAAATGAGTATACCAATACAATTGAAAGTACTTGGAGTGCAATTAGGCGCCAATTACCTCGGCGCGGCGGAGTTAAACAATATAAAATTTATCTTTTTGAATACTAATGGAGAAAATATTTCGAGAGTAAAAGTGTAATTTTTATTGTGGCAATATATAAAAGCAATAGGAAAAAATTATGGAACTCTACAGAAAGTCTAGACGTGAGTACATTTTTTTATGTTGGTATTTTTAATTTTCTTAGTACGAATATAAAATACCAGGTGTTTGGGACAAAAAATACAATAATAAATGTTTCTTTTTGCTTTAATTCCTATCTTAACTTATTACAAATGATTAGTAGGGAAAGATTTTAAGGTGCGGTAAAAATACCTTTTCAAAAATATAGCTGTTTTCATACTGATAGTTTAATATGTGCATTTGGGTGCATGATATGAAGCGAAATAAACACAATTTACTGCACCTTTTTATGAGATTACTACACATTTTGCCACCTTTTCCCTCTTTTTTTAAGCTTCAGCTTATTTTCTTCATTCTTTTCTGCGTTTTTAAACAATTGGTCAATTTTTTTTTCTCTTCTTGAACAACCTTTTAAAATCAGAATTCAACTATATTAATCAGAAGTCAACAATATTAAATAAATATTAAAATATCATTTACGTTAATCACCAGTAATTTATATCCCAGCAACTACCAGCAGTAAATCTACTGCTGTAAAGTGAAAATTTAAATTTCTAGTGTTGCTGCAACAGTTTAACCCTTTCCCGCTGGATTTAAAATGCTGCTCAGACCGGCCATTTAAATGGGTCTACAGAAATCCACTTGTCTGTTATCTGAGGAAAATGTTTACGCTTGCCATTAAATACAAAAAGAGCACTGCCAATGCTTGTGGATTTGGAGGGGAAAGGAGAAGTAAGTCAGGGGAAGTTACCTGTGCCCACAAGTGCACTAAGGTTCCCACGCCAGCAAGTGCTCGTGCGGGCGCATTTCGATCATAGAGTAGATAATGTATTGGATCATAATGTAGTAGATCATAGATTGGATAATGTACTATGAATCACCTCTTACGGACTCTATAGAGAAGAAACATTTGGTGCAAAATGAAAAAGAGTATATTCTAGTTCATGTAGTTGGATGAAACCTTAAAATGGAGCTGTTTCAGCAGCACCTTTTCACTTTCCCGTATAAGTACATATATACGGAGTATTAAATGTAGTGTAGTAAAAGTTATGAACTGATGCAGAAAATGGATTTCGAGATTTCAACGGAAATACACTTTTTGGGATCACCTGATTCTTTGATATTTTGAAAAAGAATCTTTAAAATTTGTGAGTTCTTTACATGATGCATTTACATTTTCAATTTTTTCTCAAAAATGATTCCAAATGTTTCTTTAAATTTCTTGTAAGAATAGAGCTAAATACATATATAAAGGTGGTTTCGACCCAAATTTTTGAAAAGTTCAAAATATTACGGGCATCTTCTTACAACTATAAAGTTAAATATGGAAATTTCCCCCTCAAATAAAATTTGTTGTCCATAGTGACTTTTTTTATTTAAAGTCATGTACATTTTTTTTTTTAAATAGTCGTTTTGAGTAATATGTGCAATTAAAAAAAATTACAAAAATAAGATTTTCTCAAACACAGCTCCAATTTTTTCTTTAAACTTTTAATAGGGTTAGTGCAAAATGTACCCTATAAATTGATATAGATGTTCTTGCTCTATTTTGTTTTTTGAAAAATTTCAAAAATGTAATTGTTTTGACTTGTCTCTCACATAGTTAATATTTATATTAGCGGCAATTTGTTCACATTATATTTATGAGTACATGTGCTTTAAATAAGGTCATAAAGTTTCTCTAAAACTCAGCAGTTTTCTGGGAAACTACTTAAATTTCTGCATTTTCAGCAATGCTCAAACGCATTTACTCAAAAATGTCTCCAAATGTTTTCTTCAAACTTTTTGAACGGTTAGTGGTAATTGCATTCTTTAATATGACCTAAAGTTCATTTCTTTCTTTTTCCAAAATTACACAAATGTAATTTTTTTGAAAGATTTCTCACACCATTAATGCATATTTCCAGCAATTTGTAAACACTGTTGTATTTGTGAGTTAATGTGCGTCAAAAGAAGTTTTTCAAAAACTCAAAACTTTTTTTTGAAAAAGCTTCAAATTTCGAATTTACTATAGTGCTTAAACACCAGTTTTCAAAAACGACTACAACTTTTTCAAAGAAAAATGCCATTTATGACGAGGTTTTACTGTTCTTTAATATTTTATAAATATTTCCGTTCCATTAGGAAACCGTAAAATAAAGAAAATTTCTAAAAAATGTACTTATGACGGCTGTAGATATAAGCTGGCAAGAGTATGTGGCAAGTCCGAGTGGCTAGTCAAGACCAAAGGAAATATAAAACTAATATGGGAAAATCTGTGCCATTCTGTAACACCACTAGTTGAGTTTTCAGAATCTTTTCCCCCCTTTTACGACCATAATTTGCACTTCAAAATTCTTTCCCTAATCATTATTGGATTTCTTGGTACCAGAAAGCCTGACAACAATGAAGACCTAGAAACCAATCTCTTTCACAATTATAAACCTCAAGGATGAAACATGTCACTTTTAATATTTTTTCTGGATTCGCACTGCGGATCACAGTAAGTGATTCCACTAAGAAATTGCAACAGGAAAAAACATTATCAGGAAAAATGGAATTGACATGCATGCAGACTATTGCTGGTCACTAAAAAGAGATGTTCTTCAAGCAAAACAGTTAACAATCGTTCAAAACTGTTTTGATTGAGATTACTGCAAGTAATAAAGTAAATAAAATCAATCACTTTTCAAAAGTATGGAGTTTTTAAATTATTACAAATAAACTTGGCCTGTTACAAATACATGCTTTGTAAATTTGAAATTAGGGCATCATTTTCCATACGAAACAGCCAGTCTATTTCATTTAACAGACAAAGTGAAATTTTGTCGACCAGTATAATGGGGAATTGATACCCGACGTTTAGGGAATAGGTTCTCCAAGTCATCTGGTAACGCTGTCAATAGTTTAACATTAAATCATTTGTATTTGTTGATTGTATCATTAAAGTTATAACTTTATTCTCTTTGTGGAATGTTTTCTCTCTGAGTATCATGTCATATGTAAAATAAAATCCTATTGGAAATAAAGTTGCCCCCTCCCCTCTTTTCTTTTAGACTCCACACACAAATGATTAGAATAAAATCTGTATCTTATTGTTGTGTTCTTTTCTTTTTTCATTAACTCTAGAACAGTTTCTAAAAAATTAAGTTTCTTAAAAAATCTAATTTGTGAAATGTTGGTTTCTTAAATCTTTTAAAGATGTGATTTTCACCCACACAATAATTATCTTTCTATTATTAATATTTATATTAACCTTTTTCATCCCTTGGTGGAATCGTCCAAAGACCCCAAGGACATGTTTTATAAGTACCTGCAGAAAACTATGTGGAGTTACCAAGATTAGTCTATGCCTTCCCTTCGATTCAAATTTTGCCTTATTTTCCAAGTTGGAGGCCATCAGGCCTGCTCTTCCACTTGACAACTCAAATTTTTCTAGAAAATTTCAAATCTTGTAAGGAGTATGTTGTGTGACAGTTTTCAATTACAAGTTCATAGTTTTTTCAGTAGTTCTTATGCTTGGTTCAATAATTGAAAAACCAAGACTGAACTTGATATTGTGCTCATAAATATTTCAAGGTAAATAAATAAATCAATTACCCATTTTGCAGAAAAACTGAATAAGTTTGGTATAAAATGTGAAAATACTAATCTATAAAGAAGTTTTGGGACCTTGCTCAATGTACAGTAAGGACAGTACAGTATGGAGAGCCTTCCATACCTAACTGGAAGAAAATTTGGCTTTATAAGATATCAATGTTAGAAGTCATGGTTATTTACGTGTCCCCTGGAACACCAGTATTTTGGTTGCATCATGAATCTGATCCCAGGGCTCGCCAACAACTCATTGCATGATGTTTTTATTACTTGTGCCATGATTGGAAGGAAAGCAACCTTTTTGCTTCCAAAGATAAAGCATGTCACAGCCAAATTCAAAAACAGTTTCAGTTCATAAAAAAGAGCATTTATTTATCAATTCTTCCAATAATTAAGGGCTAGTAATATTACAGTTGACCAATTAATAATAAATTCAATGTCATTGAATTCTTTCAACGATTTCAATGATGAGATCCTCATCATTGAGGAAATCGTCTCAAAATTATGATCCACAAAGGGATCAGGTAATCCAAGGTTATGAGCAGCCATTCTGAAAAACTTATGTTGCATTGTTATATGTTTAATATGAACATCAAATTTTGTTTTTTGCATTTGTGACAAAATGGGATTTTTTCATAATTGGTACACATTTACTAAGTTCATAAATATTTAGAACAACAAAGGTTCACAATATTTCACCCAATAATTATCAAATAGTGTGTTAAAGTGTTTGATTATATATTATGCATATTTAAGGTAATTCTTATAAGGCCAAAGACCTGGAAAAATGAAGCTTTAATCAATCTCTTTTCTTAAAATACTGGACCGATTCAGATGAGAGATTTTCTGCATTTTAACGCTTTTCACCTAGGAAATTTATGATAGGTGAAGTAATGAGACTTCAACATGTTTGTTCATCATTTAAAAACCAATTTTTAAATTTAATTTACACAAACAGAACAACATACAAGGAAACAATATAATTTGTAACTTGACACGAAAACAACATAAAATATTTTGAATACACCGCTTGTGGTAAACACAAATAATTACAAGGTCCAATGAATTATGCAGATGCAGCCAACTGTATGGAACTAATCAAACCTTCCAGAGCTGCCACTTGAGAGTCTTCAACGTTCTGTCTTTCTTGTCTGGAACACCAAAAATGCACTCAAAACTAAGCAACTTGCAAGTTAAGCATTTAGTATTGAAACAATGAACTCAGATGAGGAGGGAAAGAGGCAGGAAAGGTGAAGACTACAAGATAGTCCACTGTTTATATCAAGAAATGAATATTCATTACGACCCCAACTCAATGGCACTACAAAATCATTTGGGGGTTTCTCTCATAAGAAGTGAAACATTCAAAATGCTGGAAAGTTTTACTGCTGCAAGTATTTATCATTAAAATGAATGGATTCAAGGACAGTAAAACAATGATATGATACCGTTTAGATCCGTGGAAGATTATAGGTATGTGATCGATGTGGAGATCTATTATCAAGAAAAAAAAATCTATGATGGATTACAAATTATATGGTATGTTAGAGCTAACAAAGTTCAATGCCAGGGAAAATGTAATGAGAAAGTAGGCATTTTCTCAAAACGGCAACTCTCAGAATATTTCTAATTACATTAAAGATCCATGTATGTTTGTGCATGAACATGCATGTATTCAAAGAAATAATATAAAGTTCACTAGAAATGAAATTTTTAAAAATATGTATTTTTTTTTTTAGTAAATGAATAATTTATGAAGGCATACAATAAGGATTTCTCACAATTGAGAAAAAGGTAAACTAATATGTCAAAACGTCATTGAAAGATTACTTACCGCTTACTAAGTTCTTTTATAACCCAATTTGCCAATTTTGTTGCTTCTTTTCTTTTTGGAGATGTGGCTTTAGGAGAAACCGCAATATTAGTAGCACACTGAAAAGTAATTTCAAAAATCACTATTATTTCAATCAAGTATATGAATAAGTAATAACTGAGTAAACACTAAGTAACTGAACATTCTATTCACAGATGAAATTGTAATCTATCTTCAATAAACACTAAAAAAATATTTTCCTTGTAGCATTTTACACATGAGGTACAAAAAGAAGGGAGGAGATAATAGTTACAGTAAGTAATAAATTTAAACAATGCTAGGAGGACACCTGATTTCAGGGAATGAAAGTGAAGGATTCAACACATTCAGTAATTTTTACTGAAATTTCCTAAATGTTACCTTTATGTTCCTACATGTAAAATTAGTTATTTCTTTCTTTCTTTCTGAAACAATCAGCCATATGCCCAATACAAAAGTTGTTCAATTAGATACACAAGAAATGATTAAGAGCTATTGAGTAACAATTGATTTTTTGCATTGTTAGTACACAGCACTGAGGAATAGAAACCACATTATGTTATGCGAGTTGATATTTTAAATGGGTGACAATTTCACCCACAATTTACTCGTTTATTTTACGTCAAAAACAGTTAAATATATACATTTTCTATATAATTATATTTCCATTAAATATTTTTAGTATAAAATTTTCATTAACTATATACACTATATACATTTTCATTGTATTCAGTGTCAGAAGTTGTGAAAAAAAAAACAACAAACAAATAGTGTATAAAAGAGACATTAGTATGGTCTCTATATGTGAAGTTGTATAAGGATTCAAATAATTTCCCTTAAACGATATACCCAAGAATAATTGATCCTGAAAACTAATCCACTAAATTTTCCATGTACCTTTTTCCATACATCAAAATGTTTTTTTTTTTAAATATGACACATAATGTAATAAATACTTCCATCTCTTCATAATCATTGCCATTTCTCCTCTATTTATCCTAGAGTTCTTAGACCTTTTCGAACTACAGTAAAACCTGCTCAAACAGCCACCTCAACAAAAAGCTAATTTTTTGTAGCACCAACTGATTTTTCCATAACACTTGAAATACTCCTTCTTCTCAGTGATCACCTAGCTAAGTGGCCAGAGATAAGAGTACATTTCGTAGATTGTCCTTTATTAAGTGGTCACCTAAAGCGTTTTTGAACTTATTGTAACAAGCAGAAAAGTGCTGGAAAGTACTGTTGATTTAATATCTTCCTAGGACAGTGCGCAAATTCAGACTACATTGAACAGTGCCCTCCAGTTGCTTACCTTGCAGAGTGAATTAATTTCTGTTCAGATAACAACAGAAGAACTTAATAAATATCTTAATGAGCTGCATTCCTACAGTTTGCTAATTCACGCTTCTCTTCTGTAGGAATCTGTTAAGGACTCACGGAAAATGCCATGTGCACATATTTGATCCACAGGACATACGGTAAATCCTTTATAAGACAGCCCACATGTAAAGTTTCTACAGGATGTGTCACCAATTTTAGTTTGCTTGTTTCATTTGCTAAGGATAGAGGTGATTTTCTCAACAAAAAGTATGACTGACCAGTCAATACTGGCCCTATGTATAAGGCTTGAGGCAAATTGTTCCCAAATACGAGGGTTGCGTTTTATATTTCAGGATTAGAGAACAAAAACAAATATTAATTATCTTTTTTCACTTTTATTATTTTTCAAAATATCCCCATGAAGATCTATACACTTTTGCATGCCTTTGAACCAACTGTCGAAGCACATTTGCAACTCTGATTGAGGTATCTCCAAAACATGCATTCTGAATGCAGCAACCGCTTCTTCAGGTGTCGAAAAACGTCGACCTCTCAGTTTTTACGTACGGGAATAAAAAGAAGTCATTCGGTGACAAGTTAGGACTATACGGCGGATGACTCATCAAATCGATGTTTGGGTGCTCAAAAATGCAGTTGTTTGAGCCAATGTGTGAGAGCTCGCATTGTCGTGGTGAAGAGTGATCTTCGGCGGTTGGTTTTCTTGATTTCTTGGAAGACAGCTGGCAAACAAATCGTTGTGTACCACTCAGAATTGACTGTTCTGCGTCCAGTTTTTCCGAAAAAACAGGCGACCATCTGTTTGGAAGGGCTTCGTACGCGAACAACTTTTGTTGGATTTTGCTCATCTTGAAACACCCATACAGTCAACTGCTGCTTACTTTCGGGCTCATACGCGTAAATTCACGATAAATTTTTTTTGACAGTCAAATGTTCATGCAATATTGAATGTATGCTGGTCCCACTAATGCCTAAGGTTCTCAATCTCACGATACGTCACATGACTACCTTGCAATATCAGTTCACGCACAGCATCAATGGTTTTCGGAATAACAACTTATTTTGGACGACTTTCGCGAATTTCATCTTGGAGTGAACTACGACCACGATTGAATTTACCTTCGATAAACACTGGTCCTTGATGGAGCTTCATCACCAAAAATTGAATTAAGTTCATCCATGCACTGTTGCTGAGTTAATCCACGTCGAAAATTGTAAAAAATAATCGCACGAAAATGTTCACGATTTAATTCCATTTTTGGACCAAGATGAATCTTTTAAGTTATTGTAAACAACACAATACACTATTACACTCGTATGTCAAAACGTTCCGAGTACATATAACCTCAAAACATCCAACTTTACGATAGAGCCATCAGTTGCCAGATTGCAACACCAGGATAGCCAAATCCCGAAACATAAAAGGCAACCTTCGTATCTCATTTGAATTGCATATTGTCGTTTATGATAATTAATATCGTTAAAGAGAACATATTACTTTATTTCATTGCAATTGGCACAATTAGATTTCCTTTACGCTCCCAGTAACCTCATATCCTTGATTAAGCAGTCTCATCTATTAATGGACAATTTTTGGCAGAACCATTGGTGATTGCGTAAGTCAGGTCACTGCAGAAAATGTATGAAGAGAACAAGAAATACTATTTTGAAAAAAGACTCCACATCTTTCAACTGCGATACTTGTTCTACAGGGTGGCCACTCATTTCCTGAAACCAATTTCTCTGATTTTCCCCGGTTTTAAAGGACATAAAAATGATTCACTAATAAAATTTGTTAAGTATTTAACACTGTTTAAAGGAAACATTCACAATGCCTGAGACTGATTTGTCAGATCTCTGATTTAGTTGTGATAAAGTTCAAATTTCAAAAAGCTCAACAAGTAGAAATTCAGCAAAATAATGCAGAATTATTCTTTTAGGAATAATATCTATTTTTATAACCCTCTCAACATTTTCACTGACTTCTAACGATTCTTCCAAAAATTCCCTGATTCTCCCCCTGACTTTTCGAGAGAGTAATGAAATTCCCTGATTGTTCCTGGTTTTCAAGGTTTTCCAAAAAGTGACCACCCTGTTTTAGTATCTAATAATTTGTAACAGAATTTGAATAGAATAAATATTGCTGATTTATAATAATTCTAAAAAGATCATTAAAGCAATTAACTGAAAGTTGCTGTAGTTAAATGTTCATAAATATTATGAATAATATGAGTTCCAAATCAGATTCTCAAGGGATGGCAGAAGTGAAATTTATTGCACTAAATATTAAACATCTACATTAGGAGATTGCAAAATATTAGATATTAGTCATATCACTAGGTACAGTAAAACCCCGTTTTTATGTTCCCACAATTTACATTTCTTGTCAATCCCATCAGTTAGTGTACATTCATGTTATAAATACTCTACATTTACGATAGTAAAATTTCAATTTTCCCGTAATTTACACGTCTGCTTGCAACAATATCATCTGGAAAGCACTTCTTGTAGTGCACAATGGGCAGTGTTGCTGCACTTTCCCACCACCTTGCCACTTTGAAAATGGCCGTAAAAATAACAGAAGACTGTTGAAATGAAGTGACATTATAAAGAGTTATGAAATTAATGATACAATAAGACTAGAAGATTTATATACAGTGAAAATCGTTATTGAATAGCTAGGCCTATACAAATATTCATTTCATGACATTACAGAGGTATTTAAAAAGGTAGAAAAAGTGTCCAATGTGCATTTATAGAAGAATATTAAGTCTTTGCCACATAAATGATGCATTGATGCATGTCCTAATGCTGATTACAAGCACTAAAGTGCTCTTGGTGGCCTGCATTGTTGCCAACGCTCATCACACTTGAAAGCTAGAAATCACTTTATCTTTACTTATGTTGTGGCTTGAGCTGTGGGCACAACGCATGTCACCAAGAGCACTTATGTGCCATAGTACAAATCATGGTGTTAATCTATAATGTCAGTTATATGGTGTGCACAGGCATCGACGCAGCTTGAGTCATCAGCGTTAAGTGCCACATGCCAATGCAACGCACATGTGACACAGGTGTAAGAGAAGTAGCCTCATGATCATTTGTTCATTTAACTTCATCTTCCTTCACAATTTCACGCTTTCTCATTCTAAAATAAACAAATTTTTCCCATCCTTTAATAGCTCAAGCATCAAAGTATGGAATTCTCAACTGAAAATTTGTTTCATGAATCTTCTTTCTATTATTTCATAAATAGATACATTTTAAAATTACTAATTGGAAATCATTATAAACTACTGAAAAGAAAGAGAAAAAAAGAAAGAAAAAAAAGAAAATACCCATTTTATTGAGTTGGAGAAAATTTAACTTCGCATTTTTTTTTCTTACAGTAGATACACTATTTCCCTAGCTTCATCTAACAATGAGTACATTGTTGAATGTTGCATTGTCAAAAGCCTACCATCAGTGGATGGAGGGGACTTGTGGTTGCAGCATTGAAAATTCACTATGCTTCAGTTAATATGCCTTCGAGTTCTGATGAAAAATTTCTGTCAGATTTCAATTTGACCTTGTAATATTGTTCATTACTTATCTAATACTGCATATTAAAGCATATTATAATCCTTATCAATTATACATATCTAAATATATTATACTTTACTTATAGCTTCAAAGAATCATCACGCACTACAATGGTGTAACGGTTAACGTTTCGGACTGTTATACCCAAGTTCAAACCAGA